GTCCTCTCCATTAAAGGCAGCTCATTCTTGAACAGCCTCCCAACTGAGATACGGGATTGTCCCACTTTGAACAGTTTTAAAGGTCAACTCAAAGAATGGTTTAGAAACAAACAGACGTGCGATCACCACTAAATGCACTTTAACACAGGGGTATCTCCTCTTGCACTTTATATGTCGTTGCTGCTATAGTGTACTGCCATGTGGTAAATACTTGTGTATGCTGCTCTTGCTCTTTTGCACTTTTTGCATATCATGTATCTGTTTTTGCTATGGGTATAATTGTTATGTTCTTAAATGTTTTATGTGAGGGACTGCGGATGGAAATGAGCTCCAAGCTCAAATCCGGCATATTTACACTATTTGCATTTTTTTGTTTTAAGTGTTCATTAATGTGTATTGTCCCTGCTAAATAAACGATTAAATGAAATGACAATTGAAATAATTTGACTTGTTTCAGCGATAGAAGACTGTGTCTCACTCTAAACTCAGTGTTTGTTATCTTTTGGATTACAACATGTGCATTCGTGTGAAAGTCACTGTGTGGATTGTAAATATGTCTGGAATATCTAAAGCAAACAGTAGTCAAACTATGTACTTCTATATAGGGTCATATAGTGCATGTATGAAAGGTCAAAAGCTTGAAGCCAATGTGAGAAGTTAAAGCAAACGTTAAACACTCGCTGTTTCCTGTTTTTTTATTTACTTTAGTTTCTATGGGTTTAGGTCTGACAGGACAATACATTAAAAATATACCAGCTTGGACTTTGAGAAACTGGGATGGACATTTTTACTGCTACTTTTCTTTTTAGTATTTCAAGATGAATCACTTTTTTTAGAAAATAATTGGCAGATTAATGTAAAATGAAAATAATCACAAATAAGTGGGCCCTGCAAAATGCTATTTAATATATTTTAACCTATATTATTAAGGAATAAATCATAAAAGCAACCAAATCACTTACTTGTTTTTTTAAATAATAGTTTGTTGCAGGGTTAATATATATACCGACTTTAAACTCCAAGGTTTCATTCAAATCTAGCTAGCTGTGTACAGATCAACAGTACTGATTTAACATTGCACTGGTATAACAATGTCAAACTAAAAATTAATATTTTGAAACAGTACTGATCAAACACAATGCAGCAGAACCAAATATATTGTCTTTCTACCCATCTTCTTTCTTATCAAAAACAGCTGCCTGGCAAAAAGCCGCTTCAGAGATAAAACACTTAAACCGTCACAGCTGCTCTACAGATCTCATGTGCTGCACGTTAATGATTCACTGTGTTTTCTCCCTTTCTGTCAGTCTCTGGGCTCAGTCTATGGGGGGAGGTGGTTCAATTCACAACCGTGTGCAGCAACTGGACACTAAAGCCTCAGGTCTCCATCCCCCCCCTGCAGGAGCTCACCGTCTGCCTGAACCTAAACTTTGAGGTACTGACGATGAAATAAGTCTAATTACATTGCTACGGTACACCTTTGAGGAGCACGATATTAGAATAACAATATTATCTTTTAACAACCATATCTAGACCGAAGAGGCCGCCTCTTCATGGACCGCCTTCATGTACAGTCATCCTGAGGTGCAGACAGAGCTGGGCTTAGCAATGAAGGAGCGTCGCTTATTGGTCTGGTTGTTTGGATCGGAGTGGTCGACTACGCGTAGTATCAACCTTTGTAGGTCACGATGGTACTCAATGTGCCTGACCTGGAAACATAAAGGCAGACTGGCCCTGTACATTGATGGCCGTCAGGAGAGAATCAGAACAGGTGGGTTTAGTATTAAACAACTGGGTTACAAGGAAGGAGGGCTTGACACAACATATTCATTAACGATACACAACCTTGATCAGCCGATACCAATCCAATACCGTCTCTTTCCCTCTCAACTAAGCTGTTAATATTGCTATTGTTTGAATGCACTTGGCTTACCCCAGCTATCTAAAACTGTCATGCTCAAACTGTTAAAGAATACTTTAGGCCACTAAAGGA